ACTAGTACAAGTAAATATAATAAATGGGAGACTCTGTTCCCCACAACTAACATATCTTCATCGTATATAGCTAAACTAAATCTAGTGGAGGCCAGGTAGCCCACTCTAGTAGAGCTTTGGGCTGAGGATAAATTAGTCCTAGCTGTAGGTCCCTGTAATAATTCATGTAATCTATTTAAATAATGTAATGTATAATTATTCAATAAAGACCGAGGCCAGGCCTCACTCTTAAAAAAAAAAAAAAAAAAAAAAAAAAAAAAAAGAGATTAAATTTTATATTGCTTCGCTTAATTTTCTAATTATTAGTTAGTTAACACTGGATGTCTGTATGTATGATTTCTAGTACTTATGTTTAAATTGCATACACGTTATTGTGTAATCTTAATTAAAAACTTTAAATTTGCAACATAATATCTTTATATAAATTATTTTGAAATGTGGCAAAAAAGATTCAAATTTGGCCAAACAAAGTGAGGCCAAAACATAAACTGAAGCAAGGTTAAGAACTAGGAAAATAAATAAATAAATTGAAATACTGCTTTAAAAGATATTTTGATTTCAACTAATCATGTAATATCAAATAATTAGTGCCATACTAATATTGTGTACTGCTCTCTTAAACTGTATTGGGGGCAAATTTGCCCTGAATTTGACTAAAAATTTATAATTTGTCAAATTACCCAAAAAATTATTAATAGTATAGGATCTATAATTCTCATAAAAAATATTCTATAATATATATTCTAATAACTTTATTATTAATTTTTTTTTGATTTTATTAAGTAATTTTTAAATAATTAAACTTTAAAGTTTAAATTTTAAAAAATTCTAATATTAAATTTAGATCAAATTTTATAAAATTTATATGTTTCCAAAGCTAAAAATTTTTTTACTTCTAATACAAGTCCAAATTTTTACAACAAAATCATAAAAACTATAATAATAAAAGTTGTTCCTTATAATAAATTCTATTAAATTCTATTTTATCAAAATAAAATACTTAAAAAATATCAAGTAATTAAGAATAAGTAACTAATTTTTTTAAATTATAAAAATTTTCTAAAAATACTAACTTTTTAACCTAAATTTTTTTTCTTATAAATTAAATTTAAATATTATAATTATATAATCCTTATGTTTATCTATTAATTAAAAAAAATAAAATTAAATATTTTAATTTTTTAAAAAGTTAAATCATAAATATTTATATTTAAAAAATTCAGGGCAAATTTGCCCTGAATTTGTATACAGTTTAAGGGATACTAATTATTATTATAATTAGTAATGAAGTGGTGTGATGCGCAATGTACTATGTAAATCAAAACTATAAGTGTTTTTAGATAATGATTGATTTTTATAATAATTATCAAAATTTTAAATATATGCACAGCTTTAATAGATCAATAGTTTTGGTAACGGACAGTATTTTTCTCTACAACTAAAGCTATAGAGACATTTTTTTAATTTTATTATTTAAACAAAAATTTTTTAATATACTATGTTATTTTTTCTTAAAAAAAGACAAAAAAAAGGCTTAATTTAGTTTCTTTTAAAAAATGACTAGCTTTGTATAAACATAATACTGGTCTTTGTGAAATTCTACTCAAAACTATCAAACTGTTGGTCTGTATATCTATTTATATTTTATAGTAATTATTATAAAGTTGTTATTTATTGATCTTTAAATACATATATACATAAATATTTCTTTAAACCTACTTCTACAATTAATTGATTGATAAACATTCCATCAAACTTAACAAAATATCTTGCTAACAATTCTAACTTCAAACACAACCTATATAAATATAGATATTTTTAAACATCAACCTAGATACAAATCTGCAGTGATCATAATTATGCAAAAAATATTACTATAATATTTTAAATAAAATCAATGATACAAATGATAATTAAGTTGACCCTCATTAATATCAACACATTTAAGTTGATTTTAAATCCATATTAATAATGATATCAATAAGAGATTGTATTTAGAATTGATGTATATAAGAAAATTTTAACATATAAATATATATATAAATTTGTTTTGTAAATTAGATTGATATTAATGAAGTTGATTTTAATAAGAACCCTCTGTATTATTTAAATACTCAAATTTTACTATTATCATAATACCTAATTACAATGATAAATCAAATAAAAATTTTAAATTACTACTTTAAACCATTTTAAATAGTTTATTAAAAACTTTATAAAGTATATAGATGCTGTTAAGAGAAAACTTCAAACTTTTAATCAAAAATTATAATTAAAATCTCAATAACTTTAATTTAGTTTAATAAATAAATTTTATATTAGATACAACTTGAAATAAAAAAACCTTAACTAATCAAGGAAAAAATCTCAATATATATATAATATAAAGTAAATATTGACAAAATAATAATTTAAAATTTATATTTAAACTAAGAATAACAAATATCACAGTTGAAGCTGAAAATTGCTGAGGCTGGAAATGGCTGAAGCTGGAAATTAGGGACTTCAATTTGAAATATAAATCCTACCAAAATCTACTTATACATTTTAATATCAAAACTAACCCTAAATTCTAATTTAACTATAAAAAAAAACTAAAAAATATACCAAAAAAATTTAAATGATTTATTTCAGTATTTAAAAGTACTAGCTTTAGCCATTTCCAGCTTCAGCAGCGGCAATACATTTTACCAATGTCATCAAAATATTTGTGCTAATACATTTGTAATAATTTCGTCATCTTCAAAACCTTGAATCAGATTGTTCAATTTCATTAAATTTCTTGCTATATGATTATCATCATCCGAATCTTAAAGACTTTGCAATATTTAGCTTATTCTAAATTTAAAGTTTTTTATAGTGTTCTTATCTTTTTATCTAAATAATATTGGTCGAGATTAAGATATAATTCCATTTCCACTCTAATTTTCTTCAATTTGTGTATTGATTATAACATGCTTGAGTAATATTAATTTTGAAAAGCTAAATATATAACACAGCCAAGAAATTTTAAAAAAACTAGTGTAGCAATAGACCAACAAATGAATGCAATATAAACTTTTATATAATTGATACAAGGTAAACTCAAACAAATCGATCCACTTGTTATTAAAAAAGTTACTAGTACTAAATTTGTAAAAATCCATAAAAATAAAACCAAAGCTGAAAATGTTCTTAGAGAGCTATGCTTGTTGCTTTTATATACTTTTTTCTTATTTGCATTTTGATTTAATTTATTCCAGGCATGAATATATTGTTCATTGATAGTAGCTCCATTTGGCAATATAATTGTAGCAATGCTTTTTTCAAATGAGTAGACAACATCTATGATATCTGCTAATCTATACGCTTTTAATCTAAAATTGTATAAAACCCAATTAATATGCAATAAATAGCTAAAATATCTTATTTAAATACACATTACCTTAGATAATTATTAAAAAAAGCACTATTAACGTAAAGTGGTAGCATCAAAATATATTGGAAAATAGAATAAAACATATGCCATGAATTGAACATAATTAAGTTTGAAATAAAACATAAGACATATGTAAAAATTAAAGAAAAAGCACTGTATCGGATGTTATTAATCACTTCAACTGATTCTCCATCATTATATGGATCATAGTTAAGACGAAAGTCACGATAATTATAAGTATTATTATAATAAACAGTCGTATTAAAATAACGAGTACCATTATAATAAGTGCTATTTTCAAAACGTGTGATATAATAAGAACCATTAGGAAAATAATATTTAGTATAATCATAATGACTGTAATTCAAAGAATTGTAATAACGATTTGCATAATAAGTATAGTAATAGTAGGTGCTATTATAATAATAAATATTTCCACTATAATGGAACTCGTATGAATATGGTCTTTCTATACCACCATAAGTTATAAAAAATAAAACAATAAATAGCAAATAAAGCATAAAACCCATAAAGCAAATCAATTGAATTATATCATACAATCGAGAACTGTTAAATAGAAATGTAATATGGTAAATTCAAATATTAATATAAAAAAATAACATTATAAGGAATATACTCACCTTTGAGGTTTATTGCTCATAGCAAAAATGAGTTGAACAAAAATTATTAGAAAGTAAATAGGAAACGCAATTGTTAGTTCATAAAAGACCAAAGTGAAATTTATTGTTGAATAATTGAAAAACATTTGGTATGGTGCATAAAAAGCAAAGAACATGATAAATATATACGATGTTGAAGTAAGAATGCCCTAGAAAAATTATAAAATAAAGTTAATATATATATAAATCATATATAAATAATAATGTATAAAAAATTAATTTTTGGCGTATTTACAGATGCAAACCATAAAAAAAGAAAATTATAAGCCTGGAATATAATTTTTGTTTGAAAACAAATTTTATGGAAGATGGTGTGCCCACTTCTCCAGATATAATAAAAATGTGTAATAGCATAAAAGCTTGCAAGGTAATATTTATTTATGTGACGATTTTGTTGTTGAATTAATTCGGGTAAATTTTCAGGCACGCTTATTTCAGCCTGAGCAGATTTTAGATAACGTAATTTCCAATGATGATTGTGTCTTGTAACCAAATCAAAATTAAGAGTATGCTCATTAGAGAGACATACATTATCAGTGCTTTGAAAAGCATTGTACCGATAAGCAGAAAAGCCTTCAGATAAAGAACTGATATAGCCAAAATTTGATTCAAATTGCTTATCTAAAACATATGACATTTTATAATTGAAACTTTGAGCAGCAACAATTGGGTTTAATAATTTGATCTTGCTTCCGTCTTTTATATCTATATTACCACAAACGCCTGCAACTTCCGAATCTACGGAGAATGCATTCCACAAGGCATAGAGAGATCCATAACCTTTTAAAAAATATAGCATAGAAATCAGTATTGTATATATTGGAATAGCAAAAAATTCTGCAAATCACATAATACTAGTGTGTAACGACATTTATAAATTTATTTTCAAATAAATCTATTCACTAACCTGGTTTAACATCAGTATCAATAAGAACACATATTTTGGGAACAATGATTGGACAAAAGGCACTAAAAAACCATTGAGAAGAATCGACAGCCTTTTTGCTCTGTTCAATAAGACAAAAAAGCATTTGGACTGGAACGTTTCCCTCTTCTATCATCATTTCAGCAGAATTTTTAAATTGTTTAATTGAAATAGGGGTTGTATATTCATATATATGTGCTTCAACAGCTTTTTTATTGACTTTGGCTTTTGCAATATTATCTTGATAGACACCAAGAGCAGTAAAATATGCCAAAACAGGTTCACTACGACTATCAGAAATTATGCATACGACGATCTTTTCCACCCATCATTACCCTTATCAAATAGAAAAGGTTAATTAAAGATAGTTTCTATAATTGCAAGGACAAATAAAATGCATACCCATGTTGGAGAATCTTTGAGAGAACAAAGGTAAACAATATTTTCCATTATTCCGTTAAGAGTATGTGATAATAGAATTTCGTTATCCTTTTAACACAAATGCAAAATACAAATTATAGATCATTCATCAGTGATACATCATTGATAAAAATTATCTACTTACATCATGCATATTTATCATGATAAACAGTTCAATCTCTCTTTTATATTCTATTTGGCGTAATGTAAATTTTTTTTCCTTAAAAGCTTCTGGTTTGCTTGTGCAGGCTGTATATCTCAAATGTGTGGATTCCTTAGAGACTTTATGAGAAACATTTCTTAACATATTTTCTGGTACAGGACAATCTATCACTAAATTTCCATTCAGTAATTCAACATTCTCTTGTCGATAGGATGGCTGTTCCAAAGGGTTTTGCTTTGAAGGCTCTTTAGGATCGACGCGAATCGTCAGACTGTGCAATAGTATGGTAATATATTATTGAAACGTTATTTAATTATGAACGCAAATATAATATAAGCATTATACTCACGGACTAGTTATTTAAATGTATTTATTTGATTACTAAGAAATAATTACGAACGCTAATTACGAACGCTAATTACGAACGCTAATTACGAACGCTAATCTATTATAAACATAATACTCACAGGCTTGATATTTAGAATATACGTATTTGATTATTATAATAAAAATGAATTAGCACAAAGCGTATGATTTTAAAGCAAATAAATATAGCAAGCTTATACTCATACGGATCGTCTTAGCATATTTGTATTAATTAATTTTAATAAGATTAGGTTATTAGAACTTCAGATAAAATAAATTTGTAATATAAGAAGTACTAACATGTGTTATTGGTGGGATTTGTAATGAATTCAATAGTTTCTGTTGATAGTTTTTCGAGTTCAATTAAAATAGCATTCAATTCTGGACGCAGATCTGGATCAGAAGACCAGCAGTTCTTATAAAGATTGGCATAACGTGGCGGTGTATTTTCGATAGATTTTTCCCTTTCGTTGTGTGACATTTTTATAATTATTGACCGATCAGGAAGACCATTAAATGGAGGAACCCCGCTTGTAAGTTCCCAAAATAATATGCCTAGGCTGTAAATATCGGATCTTTGATCACGCTTATAATAGTGCTGGAGGTAGCATTGTGGTTCGAGATATGCTGGAGCACCACCCATATCCAAACTTGAAACAGCAGTATCATTTTGCTGCTTTGATATTCCAAAATCTGTAATTAAAGCCCTACCATCATTTATCAAGATATTCCTTGAATGCTAAAAATTTTATAAGTGAGGTTTCATTAATTCAAATTTGAGCAGAAATTAAGTGTTTTTTAAACGATTCCGTGTCACTTCACTGACACCCATTTCATAGACAACAATCATTTCACTGACAAGCTTTTTTTTCTATAAATTACACTTATCTCAACTTTAATTCTAACCTGGCCCTAACGACAATGACCAAAATTACCTTGTCGATGAAATGAGCTGTCAGTGAAATAAACCTGTGGTGAAATATGTTGTGTATACGAAATGAGCATCGGTGAAATAAGCGGGACCGTTTTAAACTTACTGAATCTCGATGAATAATGCTTTTATCGTGTAAATGTTTCAATCCGTTGGCAATATCCTTTGCAATGTGGATGAGTTCAGTCCATGAAATTTTATATACATCTTCCGTAGCATAGCGGGCTTTCTCTGTGATTGGTTAATATTTTGTAGATCATTTCGTGATCTTCGTGAATTTTATTGGTTAA